GTTTTGCATTTAGTTGATATGCGGTTTTGTACTTTAAACGACCGTATATATATATTTATGTATTAGTATATTTATGTATATTAAAGATCTACGCACGACAGAAGCAATACTTTCGCAATTCCGGATTGCGCTCGTATATGCAATTAGCTTGATCGCCATACTTATTTATACGCGAAATTTCTGTGGCCTTTGTATGCATTTCGAAAGTGTTCAGGTCATATGCAACGCTCGCTTCGAAAAGCGATTGTCCAGGCGCCACAACGATCTGCAGCTGATACAATTCTTCATGCATTCGCATTTTGTCACTCATATCGGCAACATAGCCATCCTTATCGCTGTTTTGCTTGTAGGTTAGAAGCTCAGTATGCGGGTGCAGCCGCAATGCCCAGTTGATACGTTCAAGTTCGAGAGGCGCACAGAGGTTACGGTAGGACTCGGTCAAATCGTTAATGGTCATTACAATGCTAGCGGCTGCTTTGAGCAGAATTGGAGTATGTGCTTCGCTTTCATTGAGCGACAATCGCTGCCAGTTCAGGCAGGCACACCAGTGTGGCTCGATGTAAGCATCGCTGCAAGATCGGTTCTTTGGTATTAATTCTAATAGTGAAATTGCCCGTTTTTGTGCAAGTTGTTTAAACTTTGGATGGACAAGGTTCTCGGTTGAAGATACTGGTTGTGTGTAGTAATCTAAAACTGCATTCTCCGCTTGACTGTCTTCTAGACCTGTTTGCAGCTCTAAAGATAATTATACGTTTGAACAGTTTGCATTAAGAGAATAAATTGGCAAAATACATTACGCTTACCAAGAATATGTTGAAGTGTAGCATGTACGTCAAACGGCGTAGTCAAAAGTTCAGTGTTCGCTATAAAATTTGCATATTGTTTTGGAAACTGTTTTTGAAATGCTTTTGGAAACGCAAAGCTGAAAAAAGGCAGACGTTCTTCTTGTTTTCCCTGTAGTGTAGCGCGTACTTCAGCAAACCTAATAAAAAATTTTGTCTACAGGGATTTCAATTGGAGGAGTTAATGTTAAACTTGTAATTAAAAAGATAGCACCATCATTATCGAAGTTTTGTTTAGCTAAGGAGATTTTATTGCCACGTTACCACGGTTATATCAACACGCTTTCTTGTTTGTCCAGATTACAATTTTTCTATGTACTTTATACTTTGGACACGGCGTGAGCATTGCCATTCGGGTAGGAATAGGGTTTAAAATGAAAGACGAGTACATTTATAGAAACGTAGAATAATTTCACCATGGCATATTAAACGGTTTTTTATTTGATTTTTTTTTAGGTAGGTGGGTCTGGTTAAATACACGGATCACTTTTTCGAAATACAGCCGTTGCACCGGCGCAAAAAAAAAATTGGTCGGTGTATTTTACCAGAGGTGTGCGAGTCAAACGGACTCAGATTCGGATTCAGTGGGTCGAAATACATATCCCGCCCTGAGCGGCTAGTCTCTCAGCCGTTGTCAAGCTCAACTAACGGGAGACCCAAGAAGCGTGCCGCCTCCATCGGTAGGTGGGTCTGATTAATGCAATTATCGAAAATTGTGTGTAAACGGTCCTTAGCGATGATATGCTTTTACATCTCACACGCACGCCATGTTAAAAATTACGCAGATGTTTTAGTTCTCGTGTAGTGAGCACTGGTCCAGGGTCTAGACTATAAATACATACATGCATATACAACCCCCTACAACAGTTTCTGAAACTGTGAAGAACTGATCAGAGCCCCTCAGTTGTAAACCATTTTAGACCTTTGCACTAAAGTAAAAGTTCGATGCTTACACAAAAGAGTGCAATAAAGAGATCGGTCGTAGGTCCAAGGCCAGGGACTACACATATACATGCACGTTATGTTACTGACCTATTGCCGTGATCTGACATCATAATAAGTATGGTGTTGTCCAGGATGTGCGCTTCTTTCAAAGAGCGTAACCAAGCTACCACTTCATCGTCGGCCGTACCTATCAAATTAATTGAATCGTGCGAAAGTCCGCCATGAAAGCTAAATATAAAACGAGGTGAATCCTTGTATTTTAGCATGAACTGAAAAGGACGCGTGCAATTTTGTTATAAATTTGTTAGGCATCTAATACATACACAATGGTGTTTCAACGACTTACATTCTTGGTGTAATCCAACATAACGACATGATCTGGTTGGTGGCCGATGCAGTGTTTTGTGCAGCAATTCCACATATTCGGGGCTTCCAGGTAGAGCATACGCAAATAATGATCGACTGGTTGATCAGCAAAACCTTTCATGCGATATGTGAAAGTGCCAATATTGGGCACATCCTCATTGAACGAAGTATAGTAGCCATGTTGTGCATATTCTTTCCAAATCATCGGATAAACATCCACGTTCATTGCATTCGAAATGCGCGTACGCGTCTCTGGTAACTCAAGTTCAGTATATCCTGTCAACAACGGCACTAATGCCTGTGGTGTGCCATCACCTACAATATTGTAACCTTGCAAGACTATGGACTTCAACTGCTGCACAAGGTACGAGTACGTTTTAGGTAGTTTGCGTTGGAATGCATTTCGGCTGAGCGAGTCAAAACCAAACATAAGCACATTGAAGTGTTTCGAACCTGTTGGATTACTGCTGTCCTCAGCAGCTATATCCGCAACCGCAACTCCGGCATATATTGGCACTTTCGGCGGTGTTTGTGGCTTTACAGCGACTCCATCACGTATACCGTAGGCCATGCCGTACCAGCTATTTCCGGACGATGAGCTGTGACATACAACCTTTACGAAGTCACTAGCACGCAAAATGTATGGTTCCTTTGTTTTGGTCGACTTTCCATATTTGCTCTTGTAATCTGAATTACGTATAACATCAGTATAGGTGCAAATGACTTCCCCTTGCGTAGCACTTATTTCAGGTTTAACAAAGCAAATCGATTTCTATAAAGTAAACATAAAAATAACTGAATTATATACGTTTTTATAA